AGAAGGAACAAGTTAAGGGCCGGCACCCTGAGCAGGGAGAGGCTTGCTGTGCACCTGCCCTCGCGGTCCCAGACGCTCCCCAGGATCTGGGCCGAGAGGACAGCCTCCCAGTGCTGCGGAGGGATAGGGTGGCAGGCTCAGCCCGCCCGCCCTTCCAGCAAGGCATTGTGAGCACTCAGTGGTGGAGCCGGACTCTGTGCTTTAGGAAAACTCACCTGGCAGGAGGACAGGAAAATGGGCCGGTGGGCGCGGCTGCTGCCGAGGGCGAGAGCCCCTCGTGGGCACATCGGTGCATCCCGAGCTAGCTCTGCACTGCTGCGTGTCAGGCAGGGCTGTAGGCACTGGAGATGCAGAGGCAGAGAGATAGAAAAGGACCCTGGGAGCTGATAAACCCGAGGGGGCCACAGAGCACGGTCCGAGAAGTTGCTCACAAAGTGCTGGTGGTGGGGTCCGCTGGTTGCAGAAGCAGAGGCCAGAGTTCAGAGCTAGCAGAAAGGCTAACAATTCAGAGGGAAAGGAAAGCACGCAGGAGGTTCTTACCAGTTACCTTCGAGTCCTCAGGGCTCCTGGCTCGAGCACGCGCAGGGCCCGGCTCTACACCCAGCAAGCAGCAGCAGCTGGGAGCAGAGGTTTTGGTCGCTGCCTGGTGCTGCGCAGTCGGTGTAGAACTCCACTCAGGTGTGGTGGCACCTGCCTGTGACCCCAGCGCTCAGAGGATGACGCAGGAAGAAGAAACCAGCCTGGGCTACAGAGTGAGCTCAAGGCCGGCCAAAGTGCACAGCAGACATCAGGTCTCAAAAAGGCAACAAAACAAACACCAGTTCAGAATCCAAAATACTACCAAGCCACAGGGGTAATCGCCTGAGGGCTTCTTTGGAACCCCAGAAAGAACTCACCTTGTGATTAAATTTGAAGCCGAGAGCCACACCCTAAGATCTGAGGCTCCACCAAAGCCTACAGCCAGCCCTCCACAGGGTGAATGTGGCCCCCCAGAACTTTTTCTGCCAGCCACAAACTCAACACTTTAATAGGATTTTTCAAAGTTCGGGTCAATTATAACAGCAACTGCAATGTCCAGCATGTAATTAAAAACATCCACAAATCCAATGTATAATAAAAAAGACTAGAGATTATCCACAATGTCTAATATGTAGTAAAAATTACTAGGCAAGAAGCCACCCACAACCAAGAAAAAGTCAGTAGATGCAGAGTCACAAATAACCCCAGATGCCAAAGAAAAAAACTCAGAAAAAAACCTTGTGAAGAGATGTCAAGCAATGTGTAAAGTAACTGTGATTACTCAGGATTGAGAAGGCTTCTCTAACAATGGGCTTGGCTCCTGACTGCGCGGAGGAAGAAGCCAGTGTGGGGAGCTGGGCTGGCGGGTGGGCCCTCCTCACACCCAGGCGCAGCTCCTAGCAGGGGTCCCGTGGGACCGTGACAAACCCTGAGTCACCTTTCAAGGAATTTAAAAGTGAGAGGGAGAGTTATCTGACCTAGTTGTTTGTTTTCCTCTTACTACGAGTGAGACTGTCATTTCAAATAGTTAAAAGCCAATTACATTTAATTTAATTTTTTTTTTTTTTTTTTTGGTGGAACCAGGGATTGAACTCAGGCCCTTGCGCTTGCCAGGGAAGCACTTATTCCACTGAGCCATCTCCCCGGCCCCTCATTTAATTATTTTTTGTGCATGTGTGTTTTAAGGAAGCGTCTACGGGGTGCTCAGGGTCTCACTAGTAGATCAGACTTGTAGCGATTCTCCTGCTTTCAGCCTCCCAAGAGCTGGGATTACAGGCCCGCCACCACGCCCTGTCTCAGTGCTCCCTGGGGACGGGCGGCCCTGCAGGCCCTGGGGTTCGAACCCCTGGCCCCTGCGCCTGCTTGCAGGAGCTTTAATCTGCTGAGCTCTTTGGCCGGCCTACATTTCATTTAATTCTGTTCACATCTTTTACGTATTTGCTACTGCAATGTTGATGTTTTCCTTATTAATTTGTTTATTTTGGTAGAAGCTCTTTTTATATTAGGGAGAAAGTCTTTTGTCTGTAATTAGTTGCATATAGTTTGCTGTTTGAATGGGATTTATCTTGCCATAAAGAAACTCTTAGGCCATTGAATTCATGATTTTCTATTTTGTTTTGTTTTGTTCAGAGACAGGGCCTCACTGTGTACTGCAGACTGGCTTTGAACTCACCATGTAGCCTAGACTGGCCTCAAACTTGAGGCGATCCTCCTGCCTCAGCCTCCTGAGTGCTAGGATGATAGACTGCCCCTGGCGCCCAGCACCTATGACTGAATAACCAGAGCAATAATAAACATTTGTAGCATTCTTACTATGTGCTGTACCCCGTCCCAGCACTTTGCTTCTGTTATCTCATTTGATTTTCTTTTTCTAAAATAAGAGCTAGGGCCCAAACGTAGGGTCTGGTCCATGTTACAAGCACTTGACCTCTGAATGCCACTCCGAGCCCATCTCTCTACAGTGATCTTCTGGTGAGGAAACCCAGCCATCCAGAAGTTAAATAAAGCCCTTGCTTAGGTCGTAGAGTAAATGCAGAGCTGGGCTGCGGACGCCAGCGGTGCGATCCAGCTTGTGAGACGCGAGCGCGGGCCTGAGGGGCTGGCGCGAGCGCTGAGAAGGCTCCGGCGTCGCCGCGGGCTGCGCGCTGTGCACTGCGGCGCTGGCCCGCTCCTGCCCTGGAGGCAGCTCGGCGTTCCAGCACGACTCCTTTCTGCTTCCCGGCTGTGTGAAGTGGCGCTGGGGCACGGGAGGGAAGTGGTGACGTGTGGACGGCAGAGCCTGGGTTTGCCAGCTGGCTGGGGACACGGGAGTGCGCCCTTCCACGTCCCACGCTGCAGGCTGACCTGCCTTTGCTGCTTCTCTCTCCCTCTCCTTTTTCCCGAGGCATAATTCATACGTGAAAGTCTCTCTTATGCAGTTAGTTAGCTTTTACTGTATTCAGAGTTGTGCAACTATCAGGGCAATCTAAATTTAGACCATTTTTAAGACTTCAGTGATTCCTGGTACTCCCCCTCCTTAAAAAAAAAAAAAAAAAAAAAAAAA